CCGCCCCTTGTCTGGTACTTGGATCTGGAAGGTAATCTTCCTTTTTCTTCTAATCAGAGCTGGGTTTTTGCCATCCTTTTGAAAGAAATGTGAGGTACAAACCTTATAATTTGTTTTCTTTATTGAAAATAACTGTAAGGTAAGTTGAAGCTATGTTCCTGCCCTCTGGAGTAACTACAGTCTTATTACCATGATAAACATCCCTTTTTCTTTGTCTTAGTCCATTTGTGAATAGTTTGTTGTGGACAAAGAATCTGTTTTTTGAGGTACCTGTTATGATCTTGGTTATTTAGAAATAAATAACATATAGTAAAATAGGTATTTGGTGCATAATGTATGCATAATACTGTGTTATCTGTAAGTAATTGCATGTATGTGGTCACATATACAGCATTATTAGTTTGTCTACTTATATTCAGATTAGGAGAAATGATACTTACGAATGTTGTTTTCTTTCTCAGCAATGTGTATAATCAATAACTTATTTTCAATCCCCCAAACAAAGGAGTGAACAGAATAGCAAAGTAATCTTATATTGTATAGTAGGCCTTACAAAAACAAACAAGCAAAAAAAAAACCACCAACAAAAAAACCCAACAAAAACCCAGAGAGATTGCATGTTAAACTCTTTTAATGTTTATTTTCTAGGGTATTCAGGCTCAGACAGTGGCAAACTTCTATCTTGCTTTTGAAGCACAGCTTGCAATAATTCCTGTCATAAATAAGGTAATAAAGGTTTTAAGAGTTTCATATTAAATGATTGGGTTGTTTAAATATGTAGAAGATTTATAAGAAATGTATCCTCAAATAGAAATATATAATGAAAAAATAGCTAGAGTATAATAAGAACTCTGTGTTTTACTCATAAATACATAAAGGTTCCTTGGCTGGTATATTTGGAAACTACGGTGCTGGATCATATGGAAGACGTGATTGACTGTATATTTAGCAGTTTGTTGTTTTTCAGATTGACTTGAAGAATGCAGACCCTGAAAGAGTTGAAAAACAAATTGAGAAGCTCTTTGATATCCCTATAGATGAATGTGTAAGGGTAAGATCTCTTGAAGTTTTAGAACATGGCTGATTGTATATCTGTATCTACTTTGTAGCTAATGAAAGGTGTGTAGGCATAGTAAATCAACAGGGTGTCATCTGTCTGCCTGTCTTTGTCTAACATACATGGATTTCTTTAAAGATTGTCTCCTGGAAAATAAGAGTGGAGAACATACTTCTCGGTTAAAAATTCTAGTATGTCTTGATGAATGGCGTCAAATAGATTTTAAATTATTTCTCATTGTGGGTCTGTAGATTGGTTTCACTTTTACTGTAACAACAAGTGCCATTCAGGAGAGAAAAAAAATGTTACAGAATAATTTATAATCAAATAAGCATTTTGTAGGAATAGCGTTCTAAAGTGTGCTTCAGAGTGCTTTTACGGGTAGTATTATCTGTGGCCACCAAAACTGTCTAAGTAAATGTGACACTGTTTCATAGATACTGAATAGTGTAAGACACATGTCTTATAAAATTGTTGTTGGACTTGTTTTAGATTTCTGCTAAACAAGGAACAAATGTTGAAAAAGTTCTTCAAAAGGTCATTGAGAAGATTCCACCGTAAGTTCTGTATTTAGTTATGAAACCTTGTAAGGTTAATTAGGAAACCATGAGTTGAATTTATATGGTATAAAGGCACTTGTTTTGCACTTAATATTCACCTGATTTAAAGTCAATACTTGATGAAGAGATGTGGGAGAAAGCTAATGTCTGAGCTGGTTAAGTCAGTTTCAAATTGCAAATCAGAAAAAATGACACTTCAGATTTAAGAGGCCTAAAAGGCCTTTAAAAAAAAAAAAAAGAAAAGAATGTATGAATGTCAGCAGAGAAGACTTCTTTATTCTATATATTATTCTATATAAGAATTCTATATAAGAAGTGGGAAAGGAAAATGAATTGAATATGAAATGAAAGATGAGAGGTGAGCCACTAAAGGTGATACTTCTATGAATCTTTATATAGCTTCCATGAAACTTACGTGTTTGAGAATCTGTGTGCTGTTACTCCTTTTGAACATTGCATTGTTAAAATGATAAAGGTAATTGAAATCTGCTGCGTTTAGAGTTTCATAATCTGAACCCCGACTTCAAAAGTCTTTTATCTAGGAACTTCATGACACAGCTGCTGAATTACAGTTCAGTTTCAATCAGCATATTGCTTTTCAATCTTTTCAATCTTTTTTTCCTACTATTCGCTAATAATTGTAGTCCTCATATTAGTTAATAATTATAGTTAAAAGAAACCACAATGAAAATCCAAGATTAGGTTTCCATGAAAGATGGCAAACCAAAATATCGGTGGACTTTCTTTTTTAAAACTCAGCAGTTGGAATGTAACCGTTGCCTTTTTGTTTTCCCTGTAATACAATATTCTAAGCATCAGTTTCACCTATTATGAAATGGGTATGATGAATATGCATTTGGTTTTGTTCTATTTGTGGTGCTATTGCAGATGGGAGGAAAAAAAATGTAAAGACTTGCTGCATAATAGTGAAACACTGAAATGATGTCTGGTGTGTGTTTACTGAAAATTACTCATAGTTTTATCTGTTTTAATATGGAAGTTTTTGGGGTGGGGGTGCTTGCTCATTGGATGTTGAATGAAAAACACAATGCTTAATATATTGTTTTAAATTTTTTGTGACAGACCCCACTGTAATACTGCTGATCCATTGAAAGCCTTAGTATTTGACTCCACCTTTGACCACTACCGAGGCGTCATAGCTAACATTGCACTCTTTGGTGGGGAGATTCAGAAAGGGTATAAAATTGTGTCCGCACACACAAAGAAAAGATATGAAGTTAATGAAGTTGGAATTCTGACTCCAAATGAGCAGCCAACGCATAAACTGTAAGTAAAAATTTCTTTCAATGCAACAAATAGTAAATTGGTATAACATACGAAATCCTGCATTTCTGTTTCATTTTTGCTTTGAGTGGTAAAGGCTGGGAGATGTCTGGGGTTTTTGTTCTTGTTCTTTGGTGGTGGGGTTTTTTAATGATTATTATCTGTAATGCTTAATGTCAGTGTTTTTCATTTTGGGCATGCTGAGGCAAAAACTTTTGGGGACTGCCTTTTGGGCGCTGCTAGGGGGAGGAAGCCATTCTATCATCTATAGTACATGGAACATCTGGACAGCTAGGTTTTTTTTAAGACTAGTGTTTGATATTCTTATTCAGCTGTCCAATTTATTTCTAGGAACTACCTTGTTTGAGAGTGGAAGGGAATGGGGCTTCATCTTAGTTATTGCTGCAGCATATTTTGAGGGTGGAAAACTTAAAATCCATGAATGCAACAGCTTCCAGAAACTGGCTCCTCATGGCAGCAGTGGGAAGAAAATCAGGTACTTAGTATTAGTGGAGAAGCTTTATCAGTTTGCATCCAAGTATGTGTTAATGACTTTCTTGGGAGATTCTCAGTGAGACTATGTTACTGTGTGTGGTGTGTTGAAGCCAGCCAGCAACTAAGCACCCATCCCCAGCAGGGTGGGAGAGAGAACTGGAAGAGCAAAAGTGAGGAGAGACTCATGGGTTGAGATAAAGACAAACAAAGAAGTGAAGAAAGAGAAAAGGTGTGTGTGTGGGGGGGAGTGATGCAAAGACAATCCGTTACTCACCACCTCCCCCAAGCAGGCTGACCACTAGCAGACAAGCCAGTGTACAAGCAACAGCCACCTTGGAAAGACTACACTGCTTGTTTTTTATTGCTGAGCATGATGTTCTATGGCATGGAATATCCCTTTGGTCAGTTTGGGTCTGCTGTCCTGGCTGTGTCACCTCCCAACCTCTCACCCTCTATTTGCCGGGGGGGGGACAAAGTGAGAAAGAGAGAAAGCCTTCATGCTGTGCAAGTGCTGTTCGGCAATAGCTAAAACACTGGTGTGTTGTCAACACCATTTTATTCACAAATCCAAAGCACAGCACCATGTGGGGCTGCTATGAAGAAAGTTAACTCCATCTCAGCCAAAACCGGTACACTGTATTTTACTCTTCATCTACCATGGGTTCTTCTCTTAAACAGCATTATGTGCTGATGGAAGGCATTTGTCTTTTGTTGTTTCTGCCACTTAGTATATGAAAGTTGCTGTGGTGGCAGCTGGGAGTGGTTGTGGTTCTGGTTCTGTTGCTTAGATCCTTGAGAAGTTCCTTCTAGCTCCAGCTTTCAAGCTGGGAGTAGCACAGAATTCAAAATCCAGAACTATAAATGTACTGTAACAGAAACAGAGCTACTTGAGTCAACAGATAGTTTGTCCCTTGAGTTAAAGTTCACAGCTCAGAGGAGAAAACCTACACAGTTCAAAAGCCAGATTTGTGGGCTTTTAGCGGGGAGATTTATTTGAATTTCTGACTGGGCTAAGTCAAGTGGGGAAAATACTGATAATGCCAAGAAGCATGTCCATATAATGCCAATTTTATTTAGATATGCTGGACAGGTGGGCTACCTGATTGCTGGAATGAAAGAAGTAACAGAAGCCCAAATAGGAGACACACTGTTTTTGTATAAACAGCCAGTGGAGCCTTTGCCTGGCTTTAAGTCAGCGAAGCCAATGGTTTTTGCAGGTGAGGAGTAAATGGATATAAAGTGGAATTACTTTTTTTCCAGTAACAAGAGTAAGAGAGCTATTAGAGCTTCTAAAATAATGTATGCGTATATTAAGAGTTGTGATGATTAGAATTTTAGCAAAGTTAAGCTACAGAGGCATATCATTTATGTAGCTTTGTGTAATTTTCCCTGTGACTCAATAGACAAGATTCATAATAGTTGCAGACTGGTTTTAGATGAATAAAATACTAATATGTATTTTTAGCCACAATAATTGCTTCTAATACCAGTAAATTCTTGATAGCTGGAAAAGGGTTGAGACTTAAAAAACCAAAGTCCATTATTGTAATTCTTCATCTTGATAACCAGATTTCCATAATTATTGTGAAATATTTTTTCTTTTAAAAACTAGCAACTGTTTAATTTTTGTTAAATATGGTAAACTACCAAAGCTAATATTCAGAATGATCCTATAAAATATTTGACTTTTTAAGCTTGAATAGGTCTGTTGAGCTGTTGCCACTTGCTTCAGTAACTACTACAAATGCTATGGAAGATGGCTTTAGAAAGAAATAAATTCTGTAAATCACTTTCTAGACTTGTTGTGATGGAATGTGTAAAACTCACTTGAACTGTCTCATGGAGATTATGCTGTCTGTCAGGGAATGTAGAGAAGTGTATTCCTGTAACTTTTTTTTTATATGCATTTGTGTTGCTTCTTGGCATAGAGCAATCTACATTTTCTGAAAATATAGTGATGTGAAAAGTGGTACAGTAGAACCTATTTCAGGCAGTAATTATACAGACAGCTGCTTTTTATCACTTCCAAAAAAATAGAGAAACATTCACAACTTCCTTTGATACAGCAAATTTTTTTTTGCCGTTCACCCTTACCTTTGAAGGAACATCTCAGTGAAGTTTGTCTGCTTATCCGTTCATGCTTAAATTATGTTTACACTGCAGCCCTGCAAAACAATGGTTTATACTCAATTGTGCATCTTCCACAACTGTGAAGGATTACATAAGTACAGTATCCCTGCCATTATGGTTTGAATGTTAATTCCTGGGGTTTTTTGAGGTAATCTAAAACTTTATTGCATTTTAACTATTTTTTGGGGGAAAAAAAATTCCTTGTATTGTTTTTCACATTTCAAAAATGTGGAACAGAAAGTAAACTATTTCTGGTATCGTTACTGTGTTCACTGTAAAAGGCCTATTTGAAAGCTGAGTATACACTAGATAAAGCTCTATCACATCACTTCTATCTAATATGTTTTGACAGGAATGTATCCTGTAGATCAAACAGAATATAATAATCTCAAAAGTGCTTTGGAAAGGCTGACATTGAATGACTCCAGTGTAACTGTTCATCGTGACAGTAGCCTTGCCTTAGGAGCTGGATGGAGGTGAGGCTTTTATACTGCTTTCATTTTTGGAACTGTTCGTAAATTGGGAATGCAGGTTTAAGTCAAATGAAGGTTGAATTAAAATGGATTCAAGATTAGGAATTTTAATTCAAATTAACGGTAGGTAAAGATCAAAAGCATTTGATTTTCTTACATTCTGTATTTGCACAGAGTATGCAATTTGTTGTGATTGATAGCTTTTGTTCTCAAAGACTTGTACTATTCAACTGTAGGGTCATTTGTTTTTTTGGAGATTGTTTGCTGTGCCTGCTTTTGCCAGACTAGCAGTGTGAACATGCTGGAGGGGAAGAAAAAGTCCGCTGTGAAATTCCAGGGGATATACAGACATTTTATCAACAGCGTATTTTTTTTCCAGGTTGGGTTTCCTTGGTCTTTTACATATGGAAGTTTTTAATCAACGTTTGGAGCAAGAGTACAACATGTCTGTTATTTTAACTGTACCTACGGTTCCTTATAAAGCTATTCTTTCCTCAGCAAAGTTGATAAAGGTATGTTAAATTTGTTACAGCTGTATGTAAATAGCAGCTTAAAAGCCTCCTATCATAACCATCTACACTTTTTTTTTTTTAATGTAGACTAGTACTTTATTTTATGGTAAACTTTAGAAACACCAGTATTTAACTTAAAACTTTTTTAATGCATTTTTTAAAGAATGTTAGCTTTCCTTCCCACTTCTACTTCAAGCACTCTCTTTTTATGTCTTACACCTGTCCTTGAAAATGAGAATAAAGGATGCATTTCTTGTTGTATTCTTTTAAGTGCATACTGACTGAACTGAGTTTCAAGCAGCTGAAATAATCTCCCAGGCTTTAGCAGTCAGAAAACATAAACATTTTTAGGAAGAGCTTGTAATGCTACTGTAGACTGGCAGGGACTGGTGAAGACAAGTGAGTTTTTGATCGTGGTGAAACAGGCATGTGCAAACTTTGTTGAACTGGGTGCAAAGAAAATTACTGTGAGTTTAGAGAGTTGGAGTTACAAGCACCTGCTGACAGAGGAGGCTGCAAATAGCTTGGCTCCTTACTATCCAATATGTACCTGTAAACACTACAGAAAATCTGTAAATTCCAAACAGCTGTACTTGCAAACTGTAAGGCATAGACCCTTTTTCTCTCCAGTTATTTTGGTTTCTTGCTTAGGCAGTGTAGCAGCTGTGAATGAAGTAGTCGAAACAGTGCTGGAAGTTGGGTCATTGTTCAAGAACACTGCCTTGTCAGTAGAAAGTGATATAATCACTTGCTTTGGTGTGTGGGGTGTTTGTGTGTACATGATAAGAAACATGACCTTCCTTTTGTTCTTACTTCAGAAGGATAAGTCCAGCCCCTATCAGGATGTTGGACTAGAAAAAAATAGGTCATGAAGCACTTGCACAGGAATCAAAAACTTAATTTCTAAGCACACTTCAGCCTGTAAGGGAGCCTGAATCCAAAGTTCTATTTAGAGAAGAATGTCCCCATCACCAAACTCCAGAATACTTGGAGCAGGTCTTTTGTTGAAGCTGTGCCTTGTACCTTATAGGATCAGCATGGAGTAAGAAGAAAGATCCTTGCTCTACAGACAAGAGAGAGAAATGGAAAGATGGACAGAAAGGCTTTTATATTTCTGTGGATAACTCTGGGTTGTAGTCCTAGTTCTAAGCACTTCTTCTGTTTAAAATTCACAGGATAGAATTGTTAAAAACGTTTTCCTAGTGAAAAGTAACTTCTGTAATCTATCTATATAATAATATTTAAAGATATGCTGATCAGGGACTTCTGTATGTGATGTAGAAATCTCTTTTAAAATTGTGCTTGGTATAAATTTGGGTTGCATAATTCACAAGTGTTTCCAAGCAATTGAAACATTTTTTAGCATTTTTTTTCAATGCTATATTTGTCTCCTTTGCTATTCAGTCTACTTATTTGTAAAATTACAGTATCTGTTTTGTTTGTTTGTTTTCAGGAGTATGGTAAAGCAGAGATTACTATTATCAACCCTGCTCAGTTTCCTGATAAACTTTCAGTATCTGAATATTTGGAGCCAACTGTTCTTGGTACTATTGTAACACCTCATGAATATATTGGGAAAATAATTGCTTTGTGTCAGGTTGGTATATAGTTTTAGTTCTGTCATTTGCATTTTTAAGCTCCTCATATCATACTTAAAGTGAAGATACTAGATCGTAAGATACTAGATACTATTGAAGAGTATCTTTGACAGTAATTATTAAATATTTTTGCAAGAAAGTACTTTAAACTTTTTATGTGTAAAATTACTTCTGAACTACAAAATCCTTATGCTGAAAGTTAGTGATGAAGCTCAGTGACAATAAGTACCTGGTCAAGCATCCTACACTAGACAAATTCATAGCTAGTTCTATTTTCATGAAAGAATGGAATCTCCAGCAGGCCAATAAGATCTACTGGGTTTTTAGACACATACACATGGAAATACAACTTCTGTTAACCTGTAATGAGGCTTCATATGTTTTCAGTACTTCGCTGGAGTACATTTGTGATAGTGATGGCCAAACATGTTTCCCTACGCATATTTGAAGTAGTTTTAACTAAAAATGTTTTAACTGCCATGCATATTGTCTATATAATTTCTTCACAATATTTTTCTTAGCCTTTAACATTTCAAAATACATAATACAAGAGAGTACAGTACTTGTATGTCAGTACAGTGAAGTGTAAGATCTATTAAAAAGATTTCCTAAAATAACTTTAAGAACACCCTTCTGGCAGAAAAGAAGATGAGCCTATGAGTCCTACTGTGTAATGCTCCAATGCATGTGAAAATAAAATTTCAGTGAGATTTTTATGATCAAATAATTATACATTTAAAAGGCAGCAGTAAGCAGAAGCAGTTAAGGATTTCAGAAATTCAGCTTTTAGAGAGGCTAGACTTGAACCATTTGTCCAGCTAAGTTACAACCACTTCATTTATTATGGTGCTTCAATTTGTTCTGGGACTTTAGCAAACTACCAATAAGAAAGATACTTTGGGGCTTGAAGTATGGGAGTCTGGATAGCTGTTTATTTTAATTTGCTTTGTATTTATTTGTAGAAAACTTTTGTCAAGAGGAACTGAAACAATTTTTATTTGTCTAGGATCGTAGGGCGGTACAGAAGGATATGTTGTACATTGATGAACGCAGGGTTATGCTAAAATACCTCTTTCCACTGAATGAGATTGTGGTGGATTTTTATGATGCTCTTAAGTCTCTGTCTTCTGGTTATGCAAGGTAACTACCTCCTCTGTTCCCCCTCACCCCACCCTTGACCCTGAGAGGTGAACGAAAAAAGATCCAAGAAGAAGACATGGAAGGGCACAAGTGAAGAATATTCTTTTATAGTGGTGCTGCAAATCGAGTCTGACTTCACTTTTAATGAATTAGATTCACTGTGAAAATGGATGGAAATAAATCTGAAAGACACTGAAAGTGCATCACAACCTAATAATCATTTCTTTGGTGATGCATATGTTTTTCAAATGTGACTTATAGAGTGGCACTCGCTTATCTAGATGAGTAAGATCTGGATGGTTCTTACTTGTCTGAAGTGACAATAGGCATTTTCTATCAAAGGAATCACTGAAAATGTACTTCCTACTGTATTGTCTCTTGGTGGAAAAGGGAAAATAACCAAATATTGATTCTTTAAAGCTAGTAAAAACAATCAACAAACTATATTTAAAACAAGCAACACTTACTTTACTTAAATTCTTTAGTATGGAAAAAGTAAATCATCTGTATTTCGAGACAAAAGGTTCTGCTGTGGGTGGATTCTATAAATTCAGAGGCTAGAAAATGCTCAGCTGTCTGTGAAGAGCCTTTGTGAGTTTAATGGAAGGGAAAATGTTTCATGGCAGATGGGCTTATGCCACAGGAGACTCAATAGTTCTTAGAAACCTGGTATGTAGACATGTTGTTAGTAAGATACATTACAATTTAACAGGAACTGGTATACCTAATTACATTATTTATTTTACAAGTATAAAAATGAATTTTATTGAAGGACTGAATTTGGTTTGAGTTTGTGGTTTTTTAAATATACCTTATAAAGGTAAGGTAAAAATATGTTTTGCTCGGGTTTGTGTGTATTTGAAGCGGAAGCATAAGCAAAAGTGGCGGTGGGAGGACAGGTAGAAGAAACAGTGGGATGGAGATTTTGAATTTTCTCTCAGGATCTAGCTCTCCAACTAGATAAAAAACAGTCTGTTTTTCAAGAAACTATCTCATTAGCAGAATTGTGATGGGTTTCCTTTGATTCAGGTGTGATTACAAACAATGTTGCATTGTCGTATTTCTTGATTTTTATTTCCTAATTGACTCCCTAATGTTGCTTGTGTATTTAATGCTCTCAATAATCATACTTCTGTTATATAACTCTATTCACACAACTATGGTTTATCTAAGCCAATTAAAATAGAAGTACTTTCAAATACTCTCAAAGGATTTTTTTTTTTTTTTGCCCTCTGTTCTGATATTTCAGATCTGACCAGATTAGTAGTATTGGCATTCACCAGAGAGAGAGCGATTACATACACATATCTCTGCAAAAATTCTTAAAATGGAGGAGATGCAATCTGACACACAGACAGCAAGGCCCATACCTAGCAAAGGAGAAACATGGTTTGGAAATGAAGAGGAAAACTTTGTTGTCAGAGTGAATGATAATAGGGGTCATGTAAAAAGTCTGTCAAATGAGAGGATAAAAGAAAACAATCCAGTGTTAGTGTTTGATTTGTGTGACATCAAGGATGTTTACTGTTCAAAAGCTGTGTTGAAGGGTTCTGTTGCCTGGAGCTGTAAGGAACTTCCAGCTGATAGAGAAGAAGTGTTTGAATAAACTCTTTAAGAGATTGCAGTAAGAATGTAGATTTTTGATTGATTTACCTTGCTCAGTAGCTGGAAGGCAGGCTGGTGTCTTCTGCTGCCTTGGAGATGAGATTTATCTGTGGTAAATTTCTAGTCCAGCCTTGCATAAGGGAGACATACTGAGAGACGATTAAAAACTGTGCTCCTATTTTATTAAAAAGTTTGAGTGTTTTATTAAGAAATGTGTCTGAAACTTAAAACTTATGGAACAAAGAATGCAGAGCATACTTTTTACAAAATCATCGCTAACTTTTAAACTGTTTTCGTTTAGTTTTGATTATGAAGATGCAGGATACCAGACAGCAGACCTTATCAAAATGGATATTCTTCTAAATGGAAATCCAGTTGAAGAACTGGCAACTATCACACACAAGTAGGTTGACTGGATTCTCTAAACCCAAGAAATAAGACTTCCTATTAATATACAATGAAAACATATTTGTCATATATTAGTAATACATACATATGTATGAAAACAGCATTGAGGATTTTACCACATCATCACTTTTGGAGGTGATCTGAAAAAGAGGCATTTAAGTGCTAGATATAATATTTTTGTAGGGCAGGGAGGAGAAGGAAATGCAAAATGCCAGCCTTTTAAGGGGCTGGAAAAATTTAAATACAGACCAGTCTAGGAGATGCCAGGTAAATTCTTTATGGCACTTATTATTTACTACTGAATAGAAGTTTGTTGTTACGTTGTTTCCAGCCAGAGTACTGGATGTGATTACCTCAGAAAGTTTTTGCTAAAATGATTCAGTTTCTATAAGTTTCTCGGGAATTACTGGTTTGCTGGTGAGAATAATGCCTTCCTGCTTCCCGTCTCTCCCTGCTTTCTTTTCAAAAGTCTTTAATAAGGCTTCCTTCTGTAACTTCAGCATCCCTTTCCAGTAATTGAGATTGACTGGTTTGTGGGGTTTTTTGTCCTTCTTAAAATGCTGACTTGTAGTTGTTAAATATTTGTATATTTTCATATTTTTACATAACTGCAATCCTGAAATCCTTGGAATTCCTTAACTTCAGAAGGTTGATGTAGGAAAATGAAACCCTTACTTTGCTCAGAAAGATGATGGGACTAGAGTGGAATAACTCTCTTGTATGCATTTTTTACTTAATGTGTTTTTCATAAATAAGCAGTGTTTAGCAATCTACCTGCATCTCTTTACTTTGAAAAAATGCAAAATGGAGTGGGCAACCTTGCAAAAGCTAGTTATTGCTTTAACATGTGTTTCTTGATCAGTTTCGCTTGCACCCCTGAATTTTTTCGCTCTCTAAAACTAATGATAGGCATTCTTTTAGCTTTAGCTTTTAGCTTTAGATTACAAATAAATTTTTTTAATTCATAGACAGCATTCATTCCACTCCTGCTTCAGTTATTCTCAGAGTCCTCTCACTGTAAATAGACTATATCTGTCCATATAAAAAGAATTATGCTGAATTACATTTATAGAGAAAGAATTACTGAGATTACTGTAAGCTTAGTATTAAGTCAGCCATTGTTATTTGTCCTAATTATACAAATAAATATCTGTATCTTCTAAAACTGTAATGCTTAATGAACATCACTTAAGTACTTCATGCTTAAACTGTTGCTTTAGACAGGTAGCACGGAGTCACATTATTCGTAGAATCATAGAATCGTTAAGGTTGGAAAAGACCCTTAAGATCGAGTCCAACCATTAATCTAGCACTGCCAAGTCCACGACTATACCATGTCCTCGAGCACCACGTCTATCCGTCCTTTAAATACCTCCAGGGATGGAGACTCAACCACTTCCCTGGGCAGCCTGTTCCAGTGCCTGACCACCCTTTCGGTGAAGAAGTTTTTCCTAATATCCAACCTAAACCTCCCCTGGCGCAGCTTGAGGCCATTTCCTCTCATCCTATCACTTGTTACTAGGGAGAAGAGACTGACCCCCACCTCACTACAACCTCCTTTCAAGTAGTTGTACAGAGCAATAGGGTCTCCCCTCAGCCTCCTCTTCTCTAGGCTAAACAACCCCAGTTCCCTCAGCCTCTCCTCATAAGACTTGTGCTCTAGACCCTTCACCAGCTTCGTTGCCCTTCTTTGGACACGCTCCAGCACCTCGATGTCCTTCTTGTAGTGAGGGGCCCAAAACTGAACTGGCTCATGTTCAGGCAGCTGTCAACCAACACCCCCAGGTCCTTTTCTGCCAGGCAGCTCTCCAGCCACTCCTCCCCCAGCCTATAGCGTTGCATGGGGTTGTTGTGACCCAAGTGCAGGACTCAGCACTTGGTCTTGTTGAATTTCATACAGTTGGCCCCAGCCCAATGATCCAGCCTGTCCAGGTCCCTCTGCAGGGCCTTCCTGCCCTCCAGCAGATCGACACTTCCACCCAACTTGGTGTCATCTGCAAACTTACTGAGGGTGCACTCAATCTCCTCATCCAGATCATCAATGAAGGTGTTGAACAGGACTGGCCCCAACAGGGTGAGCCCTGAGTATTGCTACATGAAAACATGTAAAACTATTTTCAGCTGTATGTTGCTAAAAAACGTTCACTAAATATGGATGTTTTCAGAGATGAGAGACCCTTTTTATTTTCAATGGCTTATGAACATACCTGTTCAGTAGTTTCTTTAGACCTTTTGTCATTTTCTCTTTCCAAAGTACGAAGCATATTCAGCATCTGCATGTAGTTAGATAATTTTTATTAGCAGATGACAAGGGTACGTTAAAATGTTTTTGGTTCGTTGTGGTTTTTTTTCTTGTTACGGGAAAACAGATGTTTTAAAAATATTTCTGTAATAGGTAGATCTTTTGACCTGTCGGGCCTACAATCAATGAAAATCCTCCTTGACCTTGTAGTTTAAAATTGCATTTGAAGCTGTGACAGTATTCAAAATGGCTTTAGTGTGATAGATAATCAGGGTGTTTATAATAAATATTTTAAATTTATTTAAAGACCTGTTAATACAATCTTATCACCTGTTTATATGAAACAGGTGACATAAAGAGACCACTCATTAGATGTAAAATTATGATCTGATCAGCTTATCTTTTGAGTTAAAGAGAGGAAAACCTTTACTAATATCCTTTTATCAAACAGTTTGGTCTATGGATATATTTTTGGTGTTGTATTACTCTTTCTGAAAACACTGGTGACTTTCTTTTTCAGTGATAAGGCATATGCTACTGGTAAATTTCTGTGTGAACGTTTAAAAGATGCTATACCTAGGCAGTTGTTTGAAATAGCCATCCAGGCTGCTATTGGCAAGAAAATCATTGCAAGAGAAACGTAAGTGAAGCCTTTCTATTCCCCCCCGCCTCCTTATTTTAAGTTACTTAAAATACAGACTTTTAATTTCTTACCTAAATAGTTTTGTACATTACAGTAGTTGGATTTTACTGTAAGGTCATATTTTTCTTGTATATGCTACCAGACCTCTTGTGGGGGCTGGGGGTGGGGGGAGGACGACCAAAAACATTTGAGCTGTGACTATGAATACGGACTTTGTATAAATTTGATTGAAAAAAATGTATTTTTATTTTAAATTGCTTGTGGTCAGCATTGCACTTTGTGTGTAGAGTATAACTGGCAACACCCATGTGTCCACTTCCTCTTTGGCAGTGGAAAGTTTCTAACTAATGAAAAAAATGAGCTGGTTGTGGAATAGTTTAACCTCTGGGAGAATCAGCACAAAAAACCCCTGAACTGTGCTATTCCAAAGGAAATACATTGCAAGCTGAACACACAACTATTTCTTAGCAGCACTCGCTTCTTTTAGAGCAAACTGTTCCCTTGATGTTGTGTTTCTTGTCACATTTTTGCTGTTGCTGTTTAAATAGGATTTAAATTGTGGTAAAAGAATTAAAGGCAGGGATGCAAGCAGAGGTGCTGTAAGAATTTGTGTGTATGTAACACTTACTGTGAATCATAGCAAAAATCCTAGATAAAGAGGCAAGATTGTCATTTTTATGTACATATTAAACACACTAAGGGATATTTCTAGAATTGAGAAATGTGAATTAAGTCTTCTGTTTAGAACTTTGTCTTCTGTATACAAAATGTGAAAATGTCATGATTCCAATGCATCTTACAAAACTAGTAGGAAAACAATGCTTAGTATTTTCACAAGTCAGTATTTAGCTTCACATATAGGAGATGTTCTAATGTGTTGAAATATATATATTATTTTATTTTACAGGCTGAAAGCTTACAGAAAAAATGTTGTGGCAAAATGTGTAGGTATTTCTTTCATTCTTTGATGTTTCTGATGTGCGTAAACCTAAGAGTCTTGCTAATGTGATAGGCCTATGTTTTCCTAGAAACCCAGCAAAGACACATTCTGTTTATGCTCCTAAGTGTCAATGGAGTATTAACAGATACTTTTAAGCTTTTATTTTAAAATTCAACTCATGTAACCTCTAGTTGCCGCTTGCAGTAAGAGTGGATCAGAAAGAGTAATGGCTTTTTCAAAATTACACACTTAGAGTGAACTCAACAGAGTGTATCTGTTCAGTCTCCTCACTGTTTTTCACTATATGTTGTAGACATATAGTAAATGTATGTGTGTGTGTGTAGACACACGTGTAACTTCACATATTTCTTAAACTGTTTTTTTTCCAGGTGATTTAAGAAACTATAGAAGTGCTTCTTTAGAGACCGATTGTGATTAGACTTTTACTTGGGTTTTCAGTAATACATCATGACAAGGCCTTAAATATGCAATAGTTGACTATCAACAAGATGGACAAAGCTATAGGAAAAATGTGATGCCTCTTACTTGCCTTTAGCTCTCTGAAGTGAACATGTTGGAAAAAAAAAATTAAACAAGTGTCCCTTTCTCACAACTATTACAGAATTCTTCTGCTAGGTACATATGGGGGATGGTGTTTGTTCAACATTGTATAAGGGTTTGGGTGACTAATCTGGACGTAAGCATCTCGTGCTAGTAAAGATGCCCCAGTGTATCTGAGCTGGCATCATCCTGCTGTTCCAAGGGGATTTGGATATCCTATAGGTTGTGGCTAATGTCAGCCATGCTTATGTGAGTGTATATATTTAGGTAACTGAATTCAACCCTCAATGAACATGCATACTTGCTCCCTTGTTCTTTTTAACTAGTGGCCTTTTGGGATAATTGGAGTATAAAATAATCTTTTGCCATAATATAACTAGCCTTTCTGACTATTTTTAAGCCCTTGAGTTTAGTGGTTCTGAAATATACTGTAGTTGCATTTAAGCTTACTAAAATACTTTTCCTTTTCCTAGTATGGTGGAGACATTACAAGAAGAATGAAGCTTTTAAAGAGGCAGGCAGAAGGGAAGAAGTTGATGAGAAAAATCGGCAATGTGGAAGTGCCAAGAGATGCCTTTATACGTGTTTTAAAGAGACAACCTGACAAATAGAGATCAGTGACATGCAGCTGATTATTCTGTCAAGTTTTTGTAGACAGTAGCTTGATGAGCTAACGTATAATTTATCACTGTGAGAGGGAACATATTTTACTTTAAATGGTGTAAATGAAATATATGTGGGAACATAAATTGAAAGGACTATGTACTTAAAATGTACAGATACTTGTAGATTATTATGAAATTAGAGTTATTTCATTTGACTTAACTGAATCTAAAAGTTGCCATTGTATTGTTTTTCATTGCATTCATACTTGTAACACTTAAAATTTAACACAATTGTGTTTTATTTTTGCATTGCAAGTCTTTGCATGAGAGAACAGGAACAATGTGGCAAAAAGTTTATAAAAAATAATTGAAAGGTGTGTATAGACAAACAATGCTGGGGTTTTTTTTGTTTTTTGGTTTTTTTTTTAAAAGTTTGAACTGTTGCCACACAAATACCAAGCTACTTCCTGTTTTACTGTCTAAAGTTGCTGTTGTCAGGAAATCATGATATTGGGAAATCACCTCAGGAAAAACTAAACATGACTTTTCTCATGTAGCACACTATTTATTTTATGACTACAGTGTAGGTATGCTTATCTCCAAAGAAATCATAAGTTTTAATACAAGATATGTAACTACTCCACCAATAAGATCAGTTCAGGCCTTAAAGAATTCCTTTGGCATGAAGGTTTGGTTAGAACATGTCTTAGTGTACTTGTTGAAGTTTTACTTACATTATTCACATACTAAAGTTTGTCAGTGAGTTCTTACTTGAAAGCTGTAGTTAAGTGTGCTTAATATAAGTGTAAACAAAGTAATCGTTAGCACAAGTTAATGATGATGCTATATACTGTGTTCACAACTGCATGCCTACCTCCAAAAGCTTTTAAGCTGCTTTTATTTTTTAGATCTTGGGGGACTAATTTGGGTCTTCACAGACGTTCACTTCTTGTTACTAGATATATTTTAGAGAACAAATTGCTAGTAATACCTACTAAAGTACTCAAGCACCAGGGCAGACTGCTCTTAAATTTAGGGTTGAAACTACAATTTGAGATTGATTAATCATAAGCTAGTTCTTTTATTTCAACCTGAGTACAAGGATGAATTGGGAAAATCCTTGGAGGGATGGAGTTGAACTGGACACCTTCAGAGGTCCCTTTCAACATATATTACTCTTGGAGTCTACAGAAAAAGGAGGGAGGGAATTTTGATACCGTAGTGGTTTGGGGTTTTTGTTGTTGGTTTTGGTTGGGGTTTTTTTAGTTGTGTTTTTGTTTTGTTTTGTGTTTTTTTTTGTTTCTGTTTGTGTTTTGTTTTTTTTTTTAAATGTGAAGCTGTTCCAGGTGTATTGAAAAACCAAAGATCTGGGTGTGAACAAGGTATCCTCTATCTCTGATAAAGGTACATAAGCTGCTGCTACTGATCCTGAAGATAGGAAAGATGCTGTGGACAAAGGCTCTCTATGATTAACATAATTATTATTCCTCCCCTAAAAAAGCTAGCAGGGATGCTATCTTAAAAAACAGCATTTAAGGAAGTACAGACATATCTTTGGAAAGTACAGAGATATCTTTAAGAAAGTACAGATATAGTAATATGTGCTAAGAGCAAAGGAACTAAAACAATTCCGCCCCCCCCCCCTTTAAATAGACCTAAAAGACAGAAAGTACTGGCTTTGTACTCAGGAATAAGGCAGAAGCTAAAGGTAAGCTAAAGATTATCTGAGTAGTAAATCTTTCATAAAGTTGCTGAGTATGACACATCACATGTATGTTACTTAATTAAATGAAAGTTACATGCATGGATAATCCTGCCTTGGGAATGAGATTAGAAAAACTCAGTAGTAGTCTAATTCTGAGAAGACCTGTACATGGTGTCAGTTTTGAGACCAAGGGCTTTAAATGAACTCAGTAGTAGTTATTGATAAATGGTAAATGAAGTATTAGTTTTTGACACAAAATGACATGATTCTATCTAGTCACATACTCTTTCTCTTTTTTTTTTTTTTTTCCCCTCCCCTCCACCCTGAAACATACTTTAAAATCTTACTGAGAAAAAGGAGAATAAAATGCTAAAGTAGATGTGCCATTTACTCATTTACCCAAGAACCCATAACTTAAGACTTACTGGACTTGAAAATGCTTGCTTTGCCATTTAGATTTTAACAATGGACTGCAGGGTAACAGGTAAAGCTTAATATAACTTACAGGGTTGACTTATTTTTAGTAGTTGATGAGTTTGGAAGGTACTGTCATTGAATAACTGGTATTTCATAAGAAAGTAATTGGAAGTATCTTGACTGAAATCATAGAAACAGTGTAGTAGGATTAAAAAAAAAAAAGTAATGAATTTACAGGGCCTAGAGCAGAATTCTACAGCCAGTAGAATTCATAACTTAGAAAAAAGCTTAACAACAGAAGCTAATTGGAGAACAACTGAAGACTATTCATGAAAAGAGGCAGAAACAGTCTCAGCCCTACTCAGACAAGTATGGGTACTACTGTACCACTATTCAAAGTGGCCTGTGTTTCACAGAAGTTGTAATGGTTATGAATGGTCTCACGTGTCCTGAGAGCACACAAAAAAGGGCTTTAGTTGGTGAGGTTGGGAAGAGAGGTAGAAGACTGAAAGGTGCTCTGGAATAAAGAACAAAAATAAGGGGTTGCAAGGAAGAAAAGCTTTTAGAAGTAGAGGGATAGAAAAGCTATGGATTTCCACTCATGTTTAAACCTAAATTTTATTGTTTCTTCAACAGAATTCCCAATTTTGCCACAAGATGGGTCATGATCATTAACATAAAAACATGCTTGAATTCCTTTAACAGTAACCTAAATTCAAGATTATTTTTAGTCTGACACTTTTTGTAATACAAGTGTTAGCTAAATAAAGACTTCATTTTATAAAGCAGTAAAGACTAAGAATGGCAAGCCTAACAATGCATTTTGTGGGTCATATGCTACATCTAAGAGCCATCTCCCAAAGCAGAGTCTTTTAAACTTTTTTCCCCCAATGTTGCATTACACTTCAAAAAGGCAAGTGCAAAAGTTGAGTCTTAAACCTGAAAGCCTGTTTCAAATCTGTGCTTGTTCAATCTACTGTTAGGAACTGAAACACTAGGCCTGGCTTCCTAACACTGCTTGAGACACTTTTCCATCCTTTTATAATTTCGTAGAATTATAGAACAGTCTGGTCCACCCTTTATGGGAAAGGGAACCTAGATGAGATTATCTACCACCCTGTCCAATTGCATCTTGAAAACCTGCAGCAGTGGGGATTCCACCACATCCCTGGGGAGGTTGCTCTGGTGAATGATTGCAACACAAGAAAATTTTTTCATAGCAAGAACAATGAAACACAATGAGCCTCTGTCCCCTTTAAATACTGGAACTCTGTACAGAGGTTCCCCTGAGCCTTCTCCAGGGAGAAAAGACCTAACTCCTCACACAGCAGGTTCTCCAGCTCTTTGACCATCTTTGCAGCCCTCCTTTGGAGCCTCTCCAGTCTGTCCATATCTTTCTTGAATTGTGGGGACCAGAACTGGACACAGTACTCCAGGTGCAGCCTGACAAGTACCAAGTAGAGTGGGATGATCACATCTCTCTTTCTGCTAACAGTGCCCCTGTGGATGCAGCCCAGGATCTGATTTGCCTTTGTTGCCGCAGCAGCACACTGCTGACTCACATTCAGCTTGCTGTTCCCCAAGTCTCTTTCAGCAAGGTTGCATCCCAGGTGTACAGCCTGGGTTCTTTGGTTATTCCATCCCAGGGATTTAGGCCAAATTCCTGTTCATGCAGCCAGTGGCCCTAGTGGGCCAGTATTTTCAACTGTAAAACAAGATTAATGTGGTTTGTAATAAAGGGTACCTGCCTATTATCTATCTAGGTGAAAAGTTAAATTGTTGAAGTTATGCTTTGTTGCACTTCCTCCCAATGTACTTTCCCTGCCCCCAAAAGTCTAAATCAATAAACTCTTAACTCCCTCCTTAGGTAAAAGGTAGCACAAAATTCCTAACCTCTCCCTGAAACCCTGAAGTATTTATCCATGTCAGAATTTATATTAGAAACAAAACAATTTTGAAATTATAGATTTATATTTAAGTTTTACTTATATTCAAAGTAGGAAATAACATTCCTTGTAACAGCTCAATGTTTATAATGATACAATGAGAGGTAACTATTGCAAAGTGATTAACAGTTGACTTTAAATGATCATGTATTAAACTTGCAGACATATTCCTGTAAATTAACCTCTTTTCAGGCATTTAATAGTAACATCAATGATACAGTTAAACAGGTACCTCCAGAAAGGAACATTATGATTTTTCTTTGTGTATAAAGCTCAATTACCAAAAATATAAAAACCCTAAAGTAATTTGAAATACATGAGAGAAAGAAGTGCTATGGCAGAAGTTTAATATTTTTATCTGTGGAGTGAGTTACAATTTTCAAGAATTTGGTGCATTTTTAGGCACTGTATCTGTATTTTTATTTGCCTGAACTGTACAGCAGGACTTGAGATGCCCAAAAACTGTTTAAGATAAATTTAAGGCAACCAAGTGCAAAAGCTCAGTGTACATTAGATATATGTAAACAGAACATTTCATAGTAGAAATTGTACAACTATTACAAGTCCATAGTATTGACAAAGGCCAAAACCATTCTGCCGAGAGACACAAATGCAAAACGTAGTTATACTATCAAGCCAAAAGTTACAAATTCCTGGAAATAAAATACCTTTTTCTCTAACACAAGGCAGATGCATTACATTGCTGTGCTAGAATAAGTGCTCTGCTTTTCCCCCCCCTACATAACATGCAGTCTCCCACAGGTTTGTTCCATTCCATTTAGTTATGTACCAGCCAATAACAGAGCTCCAACTGTTAAAGCAAAATGCACAACACAGCAAACAGATGGAATGTGAATGTACAGATATTGGACCTTTTAAAAAATACAGTACCTAGGATTCCCCATTATAAACAGTTTTCAGCATATTGCATAGCAGTGAACTCATCTGCTACGTAAAACTGTTGCTGTTGACCCACATGGAGTTCCTCTTCAATTCTTCTTTCAGTTTTCTTTCATACTGTACAGTGGGTCCACAAGCTTATTGTGCACATGCATTAAACCTTGGGGGGAAAGCAACAATGCCAGCTTTACATTAGTTATACTTTTTCAACACATCTTTCTAGCCACATTTTTATTTGGAGTTTGCCTCAAAGTATACATTAAATAGTGCACTGAAGATAATAACAATGGCCAT